GAACTCATGCCAAATTGAACATCATTATTGTGACAACTTACACGTAGCTGCTATTCCATGCTGTCATTATTGTTTTTTGACATTAAAAAATACTTACTTCTCCTTTCTCTGTGTAATGTGAGGGAAGGCAATTCTAGAATATGTTATTGTTTTATTGATACGTTAAATATGACCCATATGAAAATATGGGAACTGTTAATGTATATGCTGATTAAAACCAGAAGCCCCTCTTCTGACAGAATTTACCCCAGTGGCCTACGGAACCTATCTGCACCCAAAGTGGGTCATATTTTAATCCCCTTTCCTCTGTACAACAAAGTGATTTTCAGTAACAAGCATGAAATAATTGATTCCAAATACATTTCTCATATGAACTAAAAAGTTTAATTACTTAACTAAAATAATACACTTCCCAGTTTACATTTACTCTTTCCCTATTTTAAATTTGAAACATGAATGCTGCTGGGGAGGGGAAATTTCCTCCTCTGTCCGTCTTGAGTTCTTGTGGCTGGACTAATACTAAAATTGACACAAGGCAGACGAACAAGAGAAAAAGAAGCCAATTTTAATTCATGCGCCTCAAGGTCTTATAGAAATGGGACCTAAGAAGTAACCAAAGCAGGCAGCTTTTATACTTTTTAAACAAAGGAGCAAGGCATTTGTGTGGAATTGACAAGAAAAAGAAACCTGGGTTTGGGTGCTCAGTTAGTGAAGAGCCTAAAAAGAGTCTGGGCTTGCGGTAGTAAATTAAAGAAGTAACAAGGCTGCTGATATAAGCTTCTCAGCGAACTCCCCATCTCTGGTGATAAGGGTGTCCTACCTCCAAATGCAGGGAGATTTATTTTCTATTTTCAGGGAGACAGAAAGGAGGGTCAGAGTGTCCCTTGTGCACTGGCCATTTCTTCAGTAATTTTAATGCAGACTTATCACTATGCCATGGGGGCACATTTGGGGGAGCCCCAACAATGGTCACATAGAATGACAGAATTAAAATAACTCTAGTTTTCTTTCTTCTATACAATCTCTGTGCTATCGTGTTTATTTAACGCAGGAATATATAAAGTACCACGAGGTTGGAGGCAGGATGCTGAACTGAATGGACGTAGCTGAATCCCCATGCATGGCGGCTGGGAGCAACAGTTCACCCAATCAACCTCCACGTGGAATGCAATGTTTACTAAAAGATAAGTAGTGACAGCACAGTCATTACTGAGCGGTCCAATAAAAGGCGTTTTCAGAGAGGAGTTTTTAGCACTAACATTATTTAGAATTGCTGCCATGTGGTTTAAAAAAAAAGTGAGGGGGCAATTTTTGGTCAGTTTTATGATTGTTTTTTAATTTCCTACAGCCAGTTTGCCTCCTGATCCCCAGCAGGTGGGTGAGCTGCTCCCGCTGCTCTAGCCTTGGTAAGCCACTGGGCCACCCTGTGTACAAATTCCGGCACCTCGGCCGCTCTCCTGAAAGCCAGCATGCCGCGCAGCATGGAATTTGGTCAGAAGTGGCCGCGTCATCACTCGCTTTCACACCTCATCTCTTTTTTCACTCCCATCTTCCTAAGAGAAATGCATGGAAATGGAATTGCCTGGCTTATGGGAAAGTAACCTTCCAAGCTGATCCTTTTAGAGTAAAAGGAGGGGAACTTACTCATGGCACCGAGCCAGGTGAGGAGGGTGACCTGGCGTGGGGGTGCAAGTGTGATGTGCAAGAATTGCTGTTGTAGAAGCTAAATGGCTAGAACTGAGGTCTGATAGAGGAATGAGCTTTCCTTCTCTCCGGTAATGGCCTGATAAAGTTGTTGTTTGAAAGCCTGACAATTTAAAACAGACAGAAATGGCGCTGTGTGGGAAAGGGACTAACACTTATTGAGCAGCTACTGTGTGTATCACCACTTTTCTCACTTATCTCCTGTAATCCTCCTAGATGTGATGTCTATTCCATATGAAAAATGTTTTGAACATTAGAAAAAGGAGTTTGCACACAGAGTTAGGGTGAAGAGTAAGGGAAACTTAACTTTAGTTAAGGATTCATTATGTGCTAGGCACTGAGCAACTTGCTTTAAATACACTTGCGAAAAGTCTTGCAAAATGCATATTGTTATTGTCAGAGGACAGAGGATGAAACCCAGCTCAGAGTTTACGATACTCAGACTGAGCTCATTCCACATTCATATACAATCAGCTTGGAAGATTCAAACCCAGGACTGTCTATACGCCCCTCATAAAACCTGCCTAATTTACTACAATATGCTTTTTCCTGTGGAAGGAAGCCCTGGCTCAAGGCACTAAGAATAAATCAGGCCAGACCTAATGAAAGTCAAGTTCAGAGTCTGAAATAAATTTAATAAAACCTGTGTCCTGATTATAAGAATTGGTGTCTACGGGAAAATTTGATGTATGCTGGCTGCAGGCAAATGCTTTGTCTACAGTCGCCCGGTAAATGGAGTGGAACAAGACAGGCGTGTTTAGAAGAGAAAGAATGATGTTGACAAAGACGACAAGAACCCAGGCCATTATTACACCCGTGCTTGAGTTTGGTGCCCCCAGAAGCAAGCATAGACGGGAGGATTCCAGTTACTGGGTTATTTGGGAGGTGATCCAGACCATACTTGCAGGGGAGGGGTGAGCCGGGTGGGGAACAGGAGGCCACACTTGAAGAGGCCATTCTGATTTTCTCTCTGGCTGGCAGTTTGTGGCTGGCTGATGAGGTGTATAGAAATGATGGGTGAGTCTCATGGTTGTGTGTTGTGCCTCCTTTCGCATAAGTGGGTCCATTCGCCCAAGGCAGTATTTTGGGTGATTCCATGATAACACTCCGGTAATCTGTGAACACGCTGTCCAAGAGCAGTGTTGGAGGAGGCATTGTGCAGAGCAGCCTCCACCCAGAATCCGTTTCAGTCCAAATAAGCATCAATTGCAACCCTCCGGGGCGTCAAGGGCCGCCAGGCGCAGTGTGTGCTCTCTGCCAGATCTGAAGGGGCTTATCCAATACTGTGCTGCTTTCTCGGTAGTCGGGAAACCAAGTTCCCCTAAAACCAAGTTCCTCTGCCGAGTTTATGGTTGACCTATCCATCCAAAATGTTATTCCCTTTCTTGTCCAACATCCGTCCTCCTCAGGACTGAGTGTCAAAGAGAACAGGGGGTTGTAGCTGAGCAGGACCCTATGGGGCCTTCCTGGAACAGATCCCTCTCCCTTATCCTCTGCAGTAGCTCCCCTTGAAGTGCCTGGATAGTAGTCTCTGATGCACATGTCCTGAGTGTTTTACAGATGCTAAAACCCCCACCGAAAGGAAGAAATTAACTACTTGATGACCATGAGCATGACGCCCCCAGACCTACTGGTGCCTAAGGGTCGATAACGTTAACCCCTGTGACACCACCTTGTTGCCTCACCATCAGTCAATCAGAGAATTGTGCACGAGCTGATCACGTACCCTGCAATGCCCCTTCCTCACCTGGCCTTTAAAAATCCTCTCCCAAAACCTACCAGGGAGTTCAAGCTTTTGGAGCACTAGCTGCCCTGGCCTCCTTGCTTGGCGCCCTGCAGCAAACGCTGCACTTTCTCTCACCGCAGCCCAGTGTCAGTAGATTGGCTTCACCACGCAAGGGCCAGGGGACCCACGTTTGGTTTGGTACCAGTAGGAGGTGCAAGGTATAACACTTGTCTTTGGCGTCCAGACAACTGGACTTTTAAAAACTTCGCTGGATCTCCTAACCTGAGGGCTTGCCTTCTAACCTCTAGTGTGAATGTTTCTTACCAGGGCGCCCAGAGTGCTTGCCCCTTCCTGCTCCCCAGGTTGAATTAACACCACGTCATCCGTACGGTGGGCCAGTGCAGTGTTGAGGGGAGTGTCCAGATGATCAAGTTCCCTTTGGACCACACCACGAAAGAGAACTGGAGAGCTCACCAAACCATGGGACAAGACCTTTCATGCAGTGTCAGTTCTAAGTGAATGCACACTTCTGGTTCTCCTTCTTGATGGGGAATGAAAAATGATTTGCTCTCCGGAGTTAGCACATCTGGCATTACAGCTGAGATCAGGGCTAATATTCGGCTGAGTTTACACTAGCCTTTGGGTGCACCTGTTTTCATCAAGAGTAAGATGCAGAAATTAAATGGGGATATGAGGAGGATCCTTTAAGTCCCTGAGGATGGCTCTAATCTTTGCCTTTCTCCCAATGCTTGTCATGTCCTCTTTTGGCCTGAAGGGAGGTGGAAGAAGCTTCCACTTGGCCTTTCCTATCATGATAACTCTTCCCTCACAGATCAGGGAATTCATCTGAGGTTTCTTCCTGCTGTTAAGTATGTCAAATTCAGTTATACATTCAGGAGCTAAGGAGATGACCCAGGGGGGTGTGTGTGGACACATCAGACCTGCTGTGAGGCAGATGGAGCCATGAATCCATTTACCATCTGCCTTTCCCCCACCCCCACCCTGCCCTGCCCTAACCAAAGGGGCCATGAAGGTGTTTGGGATTCACTGGTATCAGTTTCATGCAAATGCTGTACCCAGGAGTCCTAAAATGATTTGAGTATTTGCTTTCACCCTGGGTTTAGACACTCCGGAAATGGTGGCAGGTCTCCTTGAGAAAGAGTTGGGAGCAATTGTTCCTGGTGCCTCCTGTGATGCTTCAGAGACTTCCCTGAAGGAAAGTGGCCTCCCATTCAATTGGCCTGAGAACTGGCTAGGCCTGGAAGCTGGGCAAAGGGTCAACATTTCAACATTTTTCATTTCTGTAACTGAAATCACTCACTTTTTTCCCATTTCTTTACTTGAAGGATAGTCTGTTTACAATGTTGTAGCAAATGTACAGCATAACGTTTCAGTCACACATATATATATACATATATTCCTTTTCATATTCTTTCTCATTATAGGTTACTAGAAGATATTGGATATAGCTCCCCGTGATATACAGTAGGACCTTGTTGTTTATCTGTTTTATATACAGTAGTTTGAATCTGCAAATCTCAAACTCCCAATTTAATCCCTCCCCATCCCCTTGCCCCGCTGGTAACCATAAGTTTCTTTTCTATGACTGTGAGTCTGTTTCTGTTTTGTAAATAAGTTCATTTGTGTCTTTTTTTTTTTTTAGAGTCCATATATATATGATATCATTTGGTACTTTTCTTTCTCTTTCTGGCTTACTTCACATAGAATGACAGCCCCCACTCCTGGGCATATATCCAGAGGGAACACTAATTTGAAAATACACTTGCACCCCAATGTTCATAGCAGCACTATATACAATAGCCAAGACATGGAAACAACCTAAATGTCCCTCAATAGATGGACTGTCGATGGAAGAAGTCGTGATAATTTATACAATGGTATAGCACTGGCCATAAAAAAGAATAAAATAATGCCACTTGAAATCACTTACTCTTAATCCTTCTTGGTTACATTGGTCAAACAGCACTCTTTTTGGCTACCATGTATTTTGCCCCTCGAATACCGTGGTCTGTTAGCCATTGCTACAGATCCCTGCTGTTCAGACACTGGCTTTCATTCCAGCCCTGGGGCCCTTTTCAGAATTCCATTCTCCTTACCTTGCTGATGAAGTGCAACCACGTGGCTTCTGCTGTCCTGAAATCCTTCCACCTCCGGTGACATGAGGGAGCCTATTTCCTTGGTTTTCCATCATCAACACTGGCTGATGGAACGAGCTGTCAGATTTAGCAAACAACAACAACAACAACAACAACAACAACAACAACAACAACAACAACAACAAACACACACAACGGATGCCCAGTGAAATTTGAATTTCAGATAAACAGTGAATAAGTTCTTGGCAAAAGTGTGTCCCAATTATTGCCTCCTGTATTTTACCTGGCAGCCCTCCTTACAGAGGACTAGTTGAAATCTTTCCTGCTTTAGAGAAAGGAGTGTCCCCTGGTTCCTCCCAGTATGTATAGGCTCACTGAAGGGGTCTCTGATCTTCTGTGGTATTTGTTCCAGCGTGATCAGTTCTCTGTGCGTTTTGATCCCTCCCTCAAAACTTTGCCAAGGCAGTTCTGGCATCTCCAGTTTATTTATTGTTCGCCCTTGTCTTTCCCGAGCTGTACAGATATTCTCACCGGGATGCTAAATCCTCCATCCTGGGAGAGCACCCCCATGGCAATAAACCCCCCCCTTGTCCTGCCTTACGTTCTACCCCTCACCACGTCCAGCATCTTCAAGATCCCTTCCCGGGCATGTTCTCCTGCTTCATCTTGGTGCATTTTAGCAGATGCTGTGGCTCTTTCAGTAAATAACGCCTTTTCTCCCAAAGGAGGCTATGCTGTGTTGTGGCCTCAGTTATTAGTCCAGAAGCAGAGAGGGGAGGTGGGAGGAGATCTTGAGGAAGATTCGTATCATCTTGGGAGTCATCTGCCCAAGGTGGGTCTTTGCATGGTCGTCAGACAAAGGGAGGCTGCTGTTTTCCAGCACGGGGACTGTGCCACTTATCCCAGCCCAGGGAGTTCAGGGGGATCTGGAGTTCAAGGTCCTCAAGCGTATCCTCTAAATGTCTCCATGCCAGGTCTCGAGGTTTCCATCATTCCTTTCCAGAGTTCTGATATTTATGGTGGAAGATCATGCACTGAGCCTCCTGTACTATGCTTAGCATGATCTGATTTTTGAGCAAAGCTACCCTCCAATTAGAGGAGCTGAGGATTCCTTTGAACACTGCCATGAAGACCCTCTGGGTTTCTCCATGCTTTGGGATGATAGTTGGGTGAACCGGAAGCTTCCCTCAGTACTCGCTTAAACTTAGCAATGATCAACTAATGCCACAGTCTGTAATGATCACTGCCCCTCTGGCACTCAGAATGCCAGAGCTGTTTCATAAGCCAGTCCCTCCCTTTGAACCTGTGACTCATTCCACAGCTGAAGCCCCAGTAATGATGATGCTATGACGCATCAGAAGTTGTCCCTTGACTTTCCAGCTTCTAGTAGCCATTGTCTTAGTTTGGATTCCTCCAGATGCAAACCTGGCAATGAGGATCAGAGTGTCTTTTAGAGTTTATATTTAGGAGGTGATCTCAGGAAAGTGGGAAAGGAGTGAAGAAGTGAGAGAGAAAAAGGAGGGCAGACAATACAGGATGTATTATTAAACAAGTCACCACCTGGAGCAAAAGAGCTGGATTCCAGTGTGGAATCCATCCTCACAGTTGTTGGGATATTGATTCGGTGACCCTCTGCAGTGCGTGGTCCAGGGCCGCTCCAGACACGGTGGGAGCATTAGTCCTCTGGCCCTTCTGGCTGCCCCATGATGTGGCCGAGTGGTGAGGCAGGCAGATGCTGGCGGCTGGAAGTTGGTGGCTCTCAGCTAAGAGGATAGCATGTTCCACACGAGGGACCAGAATTTTCAAGGATCTAACTTATCCAACAAATCCTGGTCCCCTTGGAGGCTGATGTATGTATATTCTTTATTTTTTTTTACCAAAAGTTATTTATTCAATACTTCAATCTATTTACATGGTTTAAATGTAAATAGAAAAAATTTAAATGGGAGCACAGAAAAATGTCTCCTCCCATTTCTGTCTTCATAGACAGAGACAAGATACCCATTTTCTACCTCACTCTTCACAGAGGACCAGTTATTGGTCTCACAGTTTCAAAAATATTCTTTCAGAGATTATGCAGATGTAAATATTTTACCTCCCTCCTGTTTGTACAAAAATGATAAAAATAAATATTTATATATTATATATGTAGACTTATAGATACATCATTCTCTATCAAGTCTTTTCTACCTAACAGTATGCTGATTATCTTTCCATATTCAGTATGTCAACGCATCAGCTCATAGTAATCCAACAGATAGTTAGAAAATAATGCATTTAAGGAGTTTGCTAAAGATGGGTGTTTGGATGGTTTTCCATCATTTGCTATAACAAAGATTCTTCTGGAAATAACCTTAAAGACACGTCTTTTCACATGTGTGAAAGTGAACCTACTTGTATATCTGTAAAATAAATTTCTAGATGTCATGACACATGAAAATACATGTGTCAAAGACTGTGTATTTTCCACTTTGATAGCTATTGACAAATCATGCTTCTAAGAGTTTTAGGAACTAAAGCTCTCAAAAAATTTGAATTTTAGTTTATAATTGTATTATCCCTCCTCTCTGTAGGCAAATCTTAGCTTCTTTAAATTGGTGGGACAGGTGAGTTAACGCTTCTAGAAGCTATCCTTAGTCTGCAAAATACTCAATGACATTTTGAGATTGTCCGTGTCACTTTTATACTAAAGAACTGTCTGAGGCAAAACTAAAATGATTTAGTTGCTACTGTGCATAAATAATTGATAAGACTCTTGGGGGAAAAAAAAACAATTCCATTTTTAGAGAGTGAATATGGAAAAATTCGACAGCTTTTTCTTAAAAACAAAAGAAGCCCGTTTTGGCATGGCTGTTCTGACAGATGATGTGATAGTTTGGTGGATAAAAGTCCCCAGCGTAAATCCGCGCACTTCGCATCCTCCAGCCATAAACACTGCAACTGGTAACAATTCTGAACAGATCCATCTCTTCATCAGTATCTGAGTTTGAGTTTAACAGCAACGACCACAAATCAGTTGCTATTTTTTGTTGCCAAAGAATTATTTTCCATTAGCTTATGCATTCCAGAAGCTTTTCTTTATGACGCTGTTGAATCACTGTCAGAATCTATCAAAAAGCAGGTGGTGAAAGGAAACTTCTAACTGCATTTTCTTTGATTTAGACAAGTCACCCTCGCTAACCACTTTTTCTGGAAAAAAAGAAAATTAATTTTTCACACTCTCCTCGGGCTGAAAAGAGAGTCTGTAGCGCGCACACCAAAATCCTTCCCTTTCCACCTGCAAGATTGATTAATCTATAGCATAAAAAATGTAAATCTTTGGGGATCTTGTCACTTTTATGGTCTGTAGAAGATGAATTCAAGCAGGATTTCAATATTGCTTGAGCCTCTGGCCCCAAAATAATATAGCCGTGTCACCAGGGGAAAGTCTGTGGGAACAGGCTGTGCTGTAATAGTTTACAGATTCATAAAAAGTATTGATCAAGCTTCGTCTCCTGTAGTTCTAAATAGAGTATTAAAGGGTTTTATCTTCTAGACCAGAGCTGCCCAATAGCGCTAAGCATGGCGGTGAACAAGCGTACGGAAATCAAACACAGCCATCAGACGCAAAAGCAGCTGGCTTGGGGTTTTACTCCACTGTCATCAAGTTAATGGTGCAGTCATGTAACACTTCTCCTCTTAATTAAATAATTAGCCTTTTCTTGATGGACAGCTTCATGCTTGGCCACACTGGCTGTTTCTAGAAGCAGAGCTGGCAGGCGTGCCACTGGCAGGATAATTGGTACAGCTTCAACAAGATTCCAAAAAGCCATCCACCCACTTCCCTTCTGGTTAGACTCTCCTGTCCATTTCTCTAAGTTTTTGCTGGCCGATTGGGTATTGAAGTCCTGACAATATCAACATGGTGATGGTGCTGACATTTCAACCTGGTTCCGGTTCTTGAATTCAAAGATTAGATAATTCTAGAATCTTATTTTCTGAAACAGGATCCCAACAAAGCACAGTCACGTTTAATTTTTATTTATTTTTCTGAAACTGTAACTGTGGGGTTTTTTCCCCCATAGGTAATGCAGTGAAACTTTTGCCATTGACCCAAAGGTGCACTGCATTGCCAAAATTTTATTTCTCTTTGATGGATTGTCCTTTGGGTTTTAGATGTTTTTGCAAATATGTCCTCTGGGTAGGAGGAGATCCAGATGAGAGTGCTAAACTTCTTCCACCATTCTGTGACAAGAAAATTTCAGTTACATGAAGGAGAAATTTCAGATCAGGTTATATTTGTACTATTGTTAATGGGCATAAATTCTGTAAATAAAAGTGGAGTGTGAATTAGTGTAAAAATCTGGAAGAATCAGATCCTGTTGGTATGGAAGAAAATATAAAGACATCAGTCTACTGTCATACATAACCCCTAACATCTATTTACAAAGATGTGTTTCCTTCCACAAAGATAGTCTTGCAGAAGAGAGATGATTCTGCATTTTCTTTCTTTAGGAGGGAACTGGCTAGTAAGGGAGGTCTTAGGTACTGGAAATTCTCTAGAAAAGGCACATCTTCTTCATTGTTTGTCAGTCAAAGAGCTAACACCTAATCGCTAAAAATGTTATTCATATTTTTGCAACACTTACTATTCGATAGTGGTTAATGGGTGTTTAAATGTTTCTCTAATTAAATTGGGAAAACAACTAATCTTCATTATAAATGAATTTCTGAAAGAGGCTTTCAACAGCGTATAGGAGCCGTTAGTGACAGCTTGTTTACCCCCAGAGATGAGAAAGATGTCATCTTTTTAATAGTCATTTCGTGGTAGATTCAGGTTATGGGTTTAATTTTATTGTTGATAAAACCAGGTTTCGTCCCAGGTTCATATGAGAGAATAATCCAATGACATCGAGCTGAGAGATTATCTTTTATCCTGAAGAAATAAATTGTCCATCAGATAATGCACATATTTTAATGGAAAAATCAATATCACTTCAAGAAATAAATTCCTCCTTCTTAAAGACGTAGTCTGAACTTTAGGTGAATAATGAATTAACAACATCTGCAGCTTTCCTAATGAAGAAAATCACCATCAGGATGCTTACGCAGTGCAATAATGTGGTATAGGATTCAGCAGAAAAAAAATATGGTGCTTTCAATGAAGTTTTCTATCAAAGTGGCAGCACAAACGAATATTCTTGGAAAGATAATCATGAGTTGTAGATTGTACACACACCATGTAAGAAGACATGTAACCTGGATTAAGTTTCCTTTGCTATAAAATGAGGAAGTTAAGCCAGAGGTTTTCCAAGATTGCTCTGATTTTATGCCTAGTCTCATCCCAAGAACATTCACTATTACACTTTGTGGTCCAGAGACCTGTCACTCGGAGATCTCAAAGGAGCAGGTGCCTCTGTCTTCCTCCTCACCTTGTGGCCGTCGTAGGCAAATTTAATCAGGTCTAGTTCAGTCCACTAGTTCTGCAGGGGAATCCATTGTTCTGTTGGAAATCTGCCTTTGGGAGGTTCTGGATTTCCTCGTATTTCAGGAAGACATCTGTCCACAACACAGACATGTAGAAATCCCAGGCAAACATTCTCAAACCAGGCCTCTGACTTTCTGTGTCTCTCCCTTGACTGGCAGTGAACGTTCCTGGAGGGGAAAGTAGGAAGTTATGCCCATAGCTCCTTGGATGCCCATGGCTTCTTTTGAAATGTAATCATCACTAGCAGTGCACAGGAAAAAATGCCCAGCAAAGGACAGCCTGGACTCCTAGAACGTGTCCAAAACTTAAAGAAAGGCAATTGCCTATTTCCAGGAAGTGGTATGAAGTGAGAACAGAAACTGTGCTGAAAAGCTAATAGTTCCACAATTTCTTTCAATCTGCTGATCATTTTGATATTTTGATTTTTTTCTCCCTGCTTGGTTAAAATTTCTCTGGCTTAATGACTAAGAGCAGTTTAAGTCCATGTTTAGTTTCTAATTTTATTACTCAAGTCCTTCAGCTTGGGTTAGAAGTAACATCCTTTTCAACAGATTTGGATTTTTCTGGAACTTACTTGTGGATGAAGAGTTCCTTTTGTTTCATCCATCACATAACTTCACGACTAAGTACATGCTAAGTCGCTTATGGGAAATACACGTCATTCTGTGTGTTTGTCCTCTCAGCAGCTAAAGTGAAGGCAAAAAGGGAAATGTTGGGATATGGTATTCATGTGTCTTTTTTGATAATTACTATGATTTCATAGTCATTTTGATGGAAAGATGAACTTACTACTTCTCTTCTGGAGTATCTTCTTCTTTATAATTGACCAAGTCCACACTGCTACAGACAGTCTACACCTGAGCTGTGGCTTCTCCTTTTTGCATATCTGAATGAATCGCTCTTTTACTGTTTAGATTGGAAAATGGAGGAAACACAAAGATTTCTAATTTTAATTTGTTCCTTTTGCATCAGAAAATTACTATTTGGTAGATACAGCAGATAAATACCAAAAAAACCAAAACCAATACATACATGTATGAAAATTAAGCCTTAAATATCTAAATACAATTATAGATTAGACTATAAAACTGGAACACTAATTTTAACAGAATTTTGCAATTATTTATTCTATTTAATAATTATAAAAATATATAAGATAAGTAAGTTTATTTAGAGTGGAAAATACCTCACAGTGACAATTGGGTTTTTTTTCTTAGACTATAAAATATTTTCTTCCAAAAAAAAAGAACTCTAATATGGAAGAATTGCATAGGGTAAATTGGAAGATAAATACTTTAAAATATTTCAGCTTATATAGTCAGGGGGAAAAGATCTAAGGCTGAAGAATGATCAATACAATTCAATGGATTATCAAAATCCTGAGGCATTTGCTGTGGCACTTTATACACATGCCTGCCTTTGTCAGTCAGCAGACTTATGTCGATAAATTGATTGCCATGAAAAATAAAAAAAGAGAGAGAGAGATGGCAAAGCTTGGTTAATGTTATTTATTCTACTTTCTGGCTTTCCTCGAATTTCACTTCCATTGTTTCATTAAGAAAAACCCTTTGTCTGTCTCCCACCCTCCCCTGTTTCATCCGCTTATGGTACATGGCACTCCTATGACTTGTTTTAAAATCCTGCAATCCTGCTTTGAAGTTAAAGAGAGACAGAGAGACACAGAGAGACAAGAGAGAGTGATCAATTTTCTAAGACCCTATCTGGGGACTGTATAAAGGAGCTTTAAGTATTTGACATAGAGATGAATCATTTGGGGCAATATGTAAAATACTGAAGTAGGTGTTTTGTATTTTATTTTTATTTATCCTCTTACCCTTAAAAACTTTTTCTTTCTCTCCCCAAAACGAAGAGCTTAATTGCACTGAGGAAGCCTATGAGAAAAATAGGAGAAATAAGTTTTTCCTTAGAGTGGCCATTTAATTTAATTTCCATTTAATATTAATAGCATAAAAGAATTTAGCTTCTTAAGGGAAAAAGCCATACACGCCTATATTTTTCAGATGGGTGTGCGATTTTTTACACACCATTCAGAGAAACATATGCCACTTCTTTTAAGATGTAAGGGTGTTTTATGGTCTATGCCTGAGCTCTAGTAATAGCCAAAGAATTCAAGACAAGTAGACTTTCAAGGCAATAGGTAACTGATTAACTCTTTTAGGTAGTTCTCAGATGCCTACTCTGTGCTGTGTTAATTTCTGTAACAGCTCTCTCTAGGATGGTCAGCGAAGTTCTAATTTTAAAGTGCAAAGCTGAAGATTTAACTGATTTCACTCTTTCCATTAGACCGTGCTGCTTTCCTAAATAAGGAAAACTTTCGCATATGCAGAAAGATGGGGCAAAATATAGCATGTGCCAGACCCAAATGGGGAAAAGGCCCCCTTCAGATGCCGTTTTGCTAGGAGGGCACTTAGACATCTGTCCTTTCTGAGATGCTGTGTCTTTAGTGTAAATGATGGTTGGGCTCCCTGAGGTCAAATAGCATTACCTTGGGAGAGACTCTTGCCGGAAATTTTTAAAATGCATTGAAAGAAATCACTGTTGGAAATTCAGCTCTCACTGTGGACTGAATAATTTACTCTTCAGCTAAACTAAACATAATATCAGAGCCAGAACTCAGAAGGCAATAGTAAGATGCCCCTGGACCACGGGAATAGGTTGTGAATACGTAGCTGAGAAGACTCTGGCAACAACGTATCCAGTATCCTTAAGTGTATCTATCACTCCTGACTAGGATTCATTTGTAAAAGAGGTTGTTGGAGCTTAATCAATGATATTAATCCATCTAGAAAAAAAAGATGAGTCAATAGAAGAAGGCCACGTGCCTAGAATTCAGGAGGAAATTATAGTGATGACAAATGAGGGGAGGGGAAAAGAGATAATCTAAAAATTTGTAACCCAGTTTTTCATAATGGCCCAGGAAAGAGGGCATAGTGATCAACACGAGCCCGTGCACGAGGGTATTGGTCAGACGGATGTCTTTTGGCCGAATCAGCTCTCCCAGCATGGTGCTTGCACTAGCCATGGGCAGAGCTAGCATGTAAATGAACTGCTTTGCTTCTTTCAACAGTTACTAAACAGCCTCCTGATCATAACATGAATTACCTTGGATACCTTCCTCGCTTTCGGTCTTACTCTATCTGGGCAGCAGTATTTCTTGTTGAAAATAAATACAGTTACACTTGAGTTTTTACAAGCACACTCTCTTATCAACTCTAGATGCATTAAAGAAAATCAAATTTGGGGATGCAAGCTCAGGACTAGTACAGCTATAATGGCCACTTCAAACAATGTTGTTCTGAAAGGCGCAGTCTGACTTTACATGTTCAGTATATAAAGTATGATGGATGGATATATATTTTTCAGACTAATGTTGTTCTTCCTCATGTATACCCTATGTGTCTTAATCTCATCTATAAGTTCTCAGTGGATCATCTATTCTCTTTGGGATTTGAAGAAGATTAGTAACTTAATAAGGTAGATTTGCTTTATCAAAATAAATTTTGGGCCCTAGTCAAATTTAAGTGGTTTTTAAAAATCTTTACTGCTGCCATACCTCAAACATCTTTAAAATTTTTATTTCTCTAAATATTCTGTTAAAATATCTTCAATGATCTTTCATGTTTCTAGTAACTCCTTTTGGATGTTTGTGGAACTAGGCCAACTTTTTTCAAGTCACCGAGGTGATAATCAGTGCAAAAACTTGGAAATTTAGCGAATAATATCCTTATGTCCTGAAAAAAAAAGATAACATATTTTTTTGTAGCAAGCACTACTATACTGACTAAAAACATAATGTAAAATCATACGCATAGTTCAGTGCATACTAGACTATCTAAAAATAGATAAAGGAAAACATATTTATTTGTGAAGGATCGTAAAGATAGCATTTGCAAGAATTTTTCATTTGTGTTACGCTCTGTGAAGACCTTTTAAAATCATGACTGGAATCCCAGACCAACCACAAGGTGCTGTTGTAAATTATTCATTTTTTATATTAAGCTATGTGATTTCATTCTTGCTGAAGACCAGCATGGTAAAGTAAAACTGCAAAGCATAGCATATAATAGAAGTCTGTTGTCACTCAAGGTATATTAGTTTTAAAGGGCAGATGATTAAGTCACCCAGCAAATATTTATTTGGGGCCAACTAATTGACACGCCCCATTCAAATCTCTATAAAAACTACAAGGTCCGTCTCCCATGAGCGCTCTAACTGTGGCTATTTCAGCAATAGGAACAAGAGTGACTGAAATTCTGGAAAGGTTAGGACAAGTTTACACTTCAGCTTTTTGTTGATCCGCAGAGCTATGCGTGTTCTGAAGTTCAGTCTGACGCGGTAGCACCTGGGCTGCCGCTGGCAGGTTTCCTGTAGATTACATCCCTCCATGGTCTCCGCTTCCCCCGTTCCGACTGCGAAGGCGTTTGTTCAGGCCACTGGCATCTCTTGTCTAGATTAATTCAACAGCCCCCTCCCTTGCTTCTCTGCCTCCAGCCTTGAGCATTTTCCACACTCTGCCAGTGTGAGCTTTCTGAGGTCTTATTCCCTTGCTTGTAATCTCATTCTCCCCATTGCTTTTGGAATAATGTTCAGATTCCTCAGAAGCACACACAAGACCCCTGCAAACATTTGCAGCCTCATAATTCTCACTCCACTGCGGCACGGGCTCTAGACACGCTGAGCTGCTTTCTGCTCTGCAAACACCCCAGGCTCTCTCTCTCTCTCTCTCTCACCCCAGGACCTCCTCACATACGTTTTCCTGTGACAAAAACGTCCCCCTTCCCCCATTCCTCCTTTTTGTTCCCCATCCCAGTCTTCAAAGATGAACTGACTTGCCACTTCTAGTAGAACTTTCCTTGATACTCCCTGACCACTAGCCCAAAGTTAGACAACCCTCTAGTCTTCTTCTCTGCCATTTCTTACTAACACGGCTGTCTCCCTCTGCCCTCCTCCAACAGATGTTCAACTCCTTGGGACCCCAGGTGTCATATCCCCCACACCAACAAAGATGTTTAATGTGAGGAGCGTGGGAGATGCCCAACAAAGATGTTTAATGTGAGAAATCAATGACTGAACCAATTCATCTGGTGGGACTCTGCCTTCTTATCTGCTCAGTAATGCAGCTGAACTGGAGATACGTTTATTCACAGTAATTCAGGTAGGATGGCATTCTAACGGGGTACATGGAGGAAAGTTTAATAACTGGATGATTTGCAAAGAAGTGCAACTCTTCTAAGAAAATCACCCAGGAAGAACATAGAATCACACTGCTAGTGGAAGGGATGGAACGGGATAGGAATTAGTACCTTTAGGCTTAGAAAGGAGAAGAAAGGAAGTGGTCCTAGGGGCCAGAGGATGGAGGGTTGGGTTGTGACCTTTGGAAGAATATTTAAGCGCCCTCTAGACAACCTGGAAAGGATGAAGCCAAGGATATAAGGCTCTTCTCTCTCTCTCCTCTTATTCTCTGACCTGTGCCAGCATCCCGTGGGCAGAATCCAGTCGGAAAC